ATTTAATTCTGATTATAAGTCTTTTTGTATTAATGAAAGTTAGATTAATTCATATTTCACAACTAGTATTTGATGTTAATGCAATTCTTTCTGGTGAAATTTGGAGATTAGTCACACCATTTTTAGTGTGTTCAGATAGGTTTAGTGTTTGGTTTTTGTTTGAGATTTTGTTTCTGTTTGTTAGTCTTTTGTCTTAACTAACTTTTTTTAAATAAAATAACCCAATAGCTCTCAGACATTATCTCAAATTGAACAAACTTATAGAAGTTGGTTACATTGTTTATGGATTATATTTATAGGGTGTTCTGGGATCTTGGTTTTCTCTTTTATATTTCATTTTATAGATTATTTCCCTGGACAATTACCTTTATTATTCAGTTCATTTTCTCAATTTACACTTTATCTCTGGTCAAAACAAAATAGAGAACAAAGAGTCCTAGTATTCTTCTTATTTGCTATGCCTCTTGTATATTTACCTTGGATCTCTCTATTGCTTCACGCTTCATTTATGACTGAACTTGTTAATAACGTTTATGGTATTTGTGTTGGTCACATTATTTATTGGTTAGAAACAGTATTCCCAATGTACTATAAATGGAAACCATTAGAACCACCAAAATTCTTGTGTGACCTTTTCATCTCTCCCGTTCATCTAGAAGAAGAACAAAACCGTGACATTGAACTCAATGAAGAAAATCAAACGGAAGATCAACAAGTTAATGAAAATGATGAGTAAGGAAGTCAGTACCTAAAACCCTCAGAATAGTAGAGGTAATAAACAATAAATAAACACAACATAAATGAAAAATTAGTTTATCATTTGATTAAATTTGAAATAAAAAAAAAGAAAAAAAGAAAGAGAAAAAAGAAAAACAAATTTCAAATTAAAACAAAGATATTTTTGATTTTTTTAATTAATTTATCTTTTAATATATATGTAATTCATCTTTTAATTTGTCATCTAATGTATTGTGCACATCTCACAACAACCAACTGAATCAGAAAAGATGAATAACAGAAATCTCAACAAAAGAGACAAAACAAAATAAAAGAAAAACAAAAATATGAATATTTCATCAAAAAATCAAATTAAATTTATCAATCTAACACTGACAATATTCTTACTCATAACACATTCACTTTTAATACAATCTGATTCAACACATCAAAAACTCCAAAAAATCTTTCCCCACTTCATTAAATCTATTAAATTGAAACCTTATGTCATTGACTCAACGAGTTTTCTACAATCATCTATTCAGAAAGAAGTATTGTAAAATTTACTTTATTAAATAGTTAAATATTACTGATTTTG